AAGGATGGTAGGAAAGAGGGACCAAAGTATTCAGTCTCGCGGGTAAAGGATAGATAGAGAGAAAAAGGGGGTAAGAAGGGAGAAGAGGAGAAAAGGAAAAGGGAGAAGGAAAAGGAGGCGGAGTAAGAACCGCCGCTACGGCTCTCCTAACAATAAACTTTCGCGGCGCGCTGTCATTTAGAACGTCGCAAATCTCTAGCCAAGCACCAAATAAGACCCCGAAGCCTTCCTTTCCGAACTGTGCGCCACGAAAATTAAGTGTCCGTTATCCCAGGAGCGTGGTATAATTCTGCCTCGCACGATTCACGTCGTACGACCGCCTTTTGCTTTCTTCGAGAGACTCCATCGTCGATTTTCTCTGGACTTAGTACAAATATATATACATGTGTAGCTGTACGTGTAGTTGTATTCGCTTAGAAAAGATGTACGTGACGTTGGAAGCAATGTCGGCCCTCGAGAAATATCGCGAATTCGTAACCTTTTTCTATTCTTTGTGGAAGGCAAGAATTTTGTCGAAAAGAGAGGCGTGTCGAACTACTTCTTTTCTAAAATATTAGTAAGACTGGCAGAGTAATGAGGAAAACGTGAGTTACTTAAACAATTTTTATCGTTTGAACTATTTACTTTTGATCAAGAATTTCTACCGAAACATTCCGTTATTATACCGATATTCGAAAAACAGTTATTCTTATCGATATTTATTGGTAATTCTTCCACTTTTTTTTTATTTTATTACGAATTTTTTTGTGATAAAAAAAAAATTCTGGATTTTTTCTAATCTCGCAATGACGCGTTGTCATAAAATATTCGATCACCGAAAACCTTCCCTTATCACTGTCACTAGGAGTGGTTATAAATCTCTTACCGTGAGAGCGGTCTAAAGAAAACATTCTAGGGTTTTGGAATAAAGAAAAAAAATTGATTTAAATTATAAAGAAAGAAAAACACGATTTAATCTTAACCAAATATGTTTGCAATAAAAAAGAAATCGAAATAAATATCGGTACTTTTTCGATATACGGTAATATATCAGTTTTAGTATTTATCAGTTTCACTATTATTTCAGTTTCGATAATAAGTTCCTGCTTTTGACAAAACGATCGAAAGTAAACTATAATAATATCAGTTTCAATATGACTTTCACTCGCAATTTAGTGCATCAGTGTTTGAAGTTAACAGCATATCTGAAATTATTTAACAGGATATCTTCTAGCTATTTCTTAGTTATCGTATGACTATATTTATTCAACCGGCTACTTATGTCTTAGCGATAAAGTCTAGGAACATAAACAATGAGATACTATGAACTTGGCTCTGCGAGATTATTTCTGCGAAAGGATACCTCAAGGAAAACAATTCGTTGTACTAACTTTCAGAATATTCCCAAACATGTCATATAAACAAAAACATTATTGCAAAATATCTTAACATAAATTCTAAGCGAATATTCCGATAAGGATTATGTAAAATAAATTTTAAAAAATTAATTCAACAAGATCTTGAATTTCCTTGCTTAAAATTTTTGTTTTAAAGAGAATTCTCAAAAACATTTATAGCTAGAAAACTGATTGGACACATATACGTTCTAAAATTTTTATTTCATTCATGAATAAATGATAATAAAATATCACGATAAAATAAACATGATAAAATAAACAAAATTCTATTTAATGATCCTTAAATATCGACATCCAAATCCATTTTCTAAAAAAAAAAATGACCTACTATCTATAGAAAATATTTTAAAGTATCTTTTAATTTATTATTTTCTATTATATTTTCAATTTTGCTTAAATACCATTAAGCTCAACACCACGTGGTCTAATGCATCGCCCTTGCTGTAACCTGCCAGCGTCCTATAATCTCACACATTTTAAGCTCGGCACGATGTCTGACAAGTAGCAAGCACACGATAGTGTAAATACGCTTTCGTCTGACACGGTTAATGCCGTCTCAAACGAAGATAATTAGTCAGTTTCCCGGAAATGTTATCTTTAATACCTTCCCATTTAATTCCAATTATATTTCGAATTCAATAAAATGAATTTTATAATTTCCAATATCCTAGATACCTATGAATTGCGATATGATAGATAAAAAGAAAAATCATCAATATTATAAGTGCTTTCATAATTACCAAATACAATGCTGAAAAATGATCGAACTTAGGTATAATAATCCTATACCAATCATCGATAATGTCAATAATTCGTAATAATTCTGAAGCTTAATCAAGAATTCACAAATGTTGGATTTATCAATCTCTCATTTGCTATCTCTTCCTCTCATTGAAGAAATCTCGATATAAAACGGTACGAAGTTATTATAGCCAGACCACGACTACGTAACGTCAATAAATTCTTAACGAGTTCAAATTCTGAACTTTTGAGATACTCTCATGATTCGCTTCATGAGGAACTCCTACATAACTCGTCCAAGTATCATTTCGACTCGTTAGGAAATAAACTAGCAATGAAGTTGGCTCAGTGGCTCAAGCATAAGATGAAGTATGAAGACAGAGAGAAACAAAGACAGAGAGAGAGAGAGAGAGAGAGAGAGAGGAGAACGAGAGAGTGGGAGAACTTGAGGATAGTTCACAGTTCGTCGTGTATCTTGACTGGTACGATACCTTGGGCTTAAACTGCCGTACTTAAGCTAAGTCTACGCCAACTAGAATTCATCTAGAAACATGTTATATCTATTGTATTTTCACTACTTTTGTCTCTGTCTCTTTCTCTTTATTTTTCTCCTTTTCCAAGAAGACATCTACTACCCTTTTACTCCTCACCAGCCATTTCTTCTCATCTTTTACCTCTATCCTTCTAGCAGTCATAGTTCTCGTTTCCTGCACTAACACGATCTCGACTCCTCCAAAACTCTACTCCCTAGCACACTTCCTTACTGCTTTAGAGGCTTTGCACCGTCTTTCCAACGTCTTTTTGCCCATACCCTTTCATTCCTTTGCTTCTTCCTTTTTCCCTTCCTTTCTCACTGTCGTTCCCTCTTTCACATTTTCTCTTTCTCTCTTTCTCCAAAAGAAGATCCGCGAAGCTTTGCAACGACTGCCTTTGCCATTTACAATCGAAATGTAAAATACGCGCGGGACAACGACGGCACGCGTACCCTCCTCTCGTAGTTCCTTCGTTCTCACGATTCGAAGACTTAAAATTTCAGTCTCTCAGCCTTTCGGGATTTAGAGATTTCAACGAGAACGGGACAAGGGACGGAACAGAGATTCGATAACAGTGAAGAACGGCCGGGATTAACTGGGATGAGAGGTTAACTTCGTCGCGTGATCAAAACGATCCATTATACGGTGAGAGATTTTCGAAAAATTCAGAATCACGTTTCTATTGTGCAGAGAAGAATATTGTTGTTATTGTTTGAAACAAGTTACGTCGAAATATGAGAAAGAGATTTACGGCCGAATAGGATATACCTTTCTATTTTTCGCTTATTGTTAGAAAAAGTTTTTCCTTTTTCTTTTTGTAATAGCATCGTCTTCACGAAAATGTGTTTGCTGGAAATATTGACGTTTCGCTAAAAAATGAAAAATGAAATTAATTTAATTTTTCTATCCTGTATAATGCTAAGACGCGAGGCATAATAAAATCTTGAAAAAAAAAATCCAACAGTTGGTATAAGTGAGCTGTATAGGGAGAAACGCAATTAGAAGTTCTAACACTGTTTCCTCCATACAGCTAGCATTGTCCAGAATCCTAGGATAAAATAACTCCGTTGCCAGAGAAGAATGAAAGAAGAATGAAAAACGAGATGCTATCATGAGAATGAAAAATCGTTATCTTAACTTTAATTTTGGTAGGTTTTATGGAACCGTCATGAACGATGTTTGTCATACGATAAAGGTTATTCGAGCACTTCCCTATTTTCACGTCGTACCAATGAATACTGTTACATCAAAAATGTCTATTTTAACTGTAACCACAGAAACTGCCAGTTAAATTAAACTTCGTTTATCAACGCGTTACAAATCTCCATATTTCGCATCGGATAACTTTCCGTATTTGCGACTATGATTCTGTATCTTTCTCTTCCTTTCTTTCGTACACACACACACACACACACACACGCACAGAGAAAGAAAGAGAGAGAGAGAGAGAGAGAGAGAGAGAGAGAGAAAGAAAGAGAAAGAGAAAGAAAAAGAAAAAGAAAGAAAGAAAGACGACAGACAGAGAGAGAGAGAGAAAGAGAAAAGATAGAGAGAGATACCACTGAATCTGAATTACGAATAATATTTGAAATATTTTATTCGTTATTGAAAGAAAGTTTTTTCCTATTGAAAATACAGTTATCCTCTCCCACTAGAAAAACTATAAATTTAAATAACGAATGAAAATTTATATCTTTTTATGCTTTATGTAGAAATCAAAAAATGAGTTTATCTTATGGAAAATATAACAATGTCGTTATCAACAACGAGCATGGTACGAATTATAAAATAGAATTTTAGCAGTATATGAAAATTAAAAAAGAATTATTCGTTCTCATTCTCGCCTTCGTTCTATTGTAATCACGGTGCATTGCATCTAGCTCTTCTCTCTCCCTCTCTCTCTCTCTCTTTCTCTTTCTTTCATTCAGAGTGTCAATTCGAAATGTACTTATGGAAGATATTTTTAAACTGATAATACTTGAATAAATCTCAAACGGTTCGGCGATTTCTAAAGTAACAAAGTTTAATTGAAAAGAGATATCATCTGATTCATGCAACATTTTGCAGATAGGAGGGAAACATCTGGTTGGTAATGTATAGAAATGATTAAAGGATTTGGTGCGATCAAATGGGACTTTCTAATACTAGGTGTCTCATCGATCACATTTGCAGCATATAAAAGAGATTTTTCCTTAAAATGAAATGAAGAAGAAAACAGATGAAATGCGGAAATGCGGTATTAAATGTATAAAGAGCTTACGATGGAAGAAAATTAAGCGAGAATATTTGTTAAAGAATAATAATTTGTATTCTATGCTTAACAGTTTACCTTGAAACCAGATAGATTCGAGACAACACAGGTAAGTACAGCTTCTCGGCCCACTGCAACCGTTATATTTGAAATTGAATTGTTGAAGGTCGGCACTTCTGAAACATAATGATATTGTGGTTTAATTAAGTAATTTCTCTCTCCTTTAACATAATTAATATCCAACTGATTGAATAGGTTCTATCGATCAATTCACGATCTCGCTATTCGAAATTATTAACGAATGTAATAGTCTTGTCTGATCATATCATTCAAGTCTGTCACGATATTACCGAGAGAAATGTCTCTATAGCATGAATTAGAATCGACATATTTGTTATTGGAATTTAGACGAACGAAATTGTGTCGTTTCATCGTGGCTTACGTTAAAAATAACATACCCGTTATACTTGTAGAAAGTCTAATAAACGACTATCTTTTTCTTAAGTTGTACACCTTAGCCTTGTTTCTTCAATGCTATGAAAAATAATCAATAGAAAAAAAAACTCTTAATTAGTAAGATTCATGTCATCATGACATCCAGAGATTTTTTCTTTTATGACGGAACATTTAAAATATAGATTAGCCGTAATCTATTGTCCTAAAACGATTAAATCGTGGATATCTAATTCGATTACGTAGAATCTTATTCCTAACATGGCAAGAGGATAGGCTGAACAAGTGCGGGGATGGTGTGTCTGTACTGCGTAATGCTGGCGCAGAATTCGGGTGGGGGCTCTCGGTATTAGGGAGAGGGGTAGCCTGGTGTGCGCCAACAGATAAGCACTGATCCCAATTACACGTTGAGGCAAAGCGGTTCCCAAGCTGAGCGGATCACGGATTATTGACTCCAGGCCGATTACTCGAACGGTAGCAATACAATCGAAGGATCAATACATCTTCGACTTTTGTGCCTCCTCTCGACACATATACTATATTCTCTTCGGTGATTCACCAAACGAGACCTTTCTGAATCGACAACGAGGCCGCAAATTACTCCGGCACCTTGACGCATTATTTCTCTGACGATACGAAATTGGATGATGGAAAGGATCAGGTGATCAACGTGAGTCAATTACTCGGCTCGCTGTCTCGTGAAAGCGATCCTTCCATTGATTTACAATCAGATAAATTTGAAAACCACTGGCCTGGAAAACGACGCATTTCCTCCTAGGGATTGTAGCATCGCGCGAAAGCAAGAGAGAAAAAGAGAGAGAAAAAGAAAAAGAGAAAGAATGAGAAAGAGGAAAGATTCACTTCGTTTCCAGCCAATATCTGTCTTAAAGTATCGATCATGAACGTTTTGGCAGAATTGGCACGTATCGTACATCCAGTCTTTCCTTTCATTTTTATTATTAACGATTACTAAAACTTTTCGTATTACACACACACACACACACACACACACATATATATATATATATATATATATATATATATATATATATATAGAAACACATATAGACATAAGAGTTCATTTTACGATCGATAAAACTACAGTTCGAGCAGTTGGTTTTATGGGTAAAGAATTGCGGGAATAATTGTAAACTCGTAAACACGAATCGACGAAAAGTTTGAGCATACTGTCGTGAAGCACTAATTAACGTTCTCCGATTCGTCTGCGTCTCTCATCTTCTTATTTTCGTAAATTTTATCCAGTATCGCAATTAAAAATTCTCGTATAGAATATTAATTTAAAAAAAATAAAAGAAACGAACTCAGTTCCTCGTATTTTCTACGGTCCTTCTGATTGATGTATAAAACTAAAATGTACGTATGAGCACACACAGATTTTACACATAGGTATCGCGAATGACGCAATACTGACAAATTGTTTCTGGAATATCATATAAAAGGTATTTGTTCGAACAAAATAGCTTCTAAATTTGTTCGAAGAGAAGAGATCCGGTCGTAAAAAAATATGTCGAGTGCGAGTGGAAGTTACGTACCAGCTCGATATTGAGTTATTTGTTAGATAGTCGAGAATGTACACACCTGTGAAATCATTCAAACGAACAGAGCGTCGAGATGAGTATTGTATAATTTATCTCTATATAATTGTAATGAAGTATTTGTAATAAATATAAGTTCATAAAGTAGATATGATATTATGATTGTCATTACCAGGATATCATAATAAAAAAGTCTGTGTATAATTAGAACAAAAAATTAATTATATATGTATATATATATATATATATAATTAATGAATTATATATATAATATATAATATATAATACATATATTATATATTAAAATAATATATACGTGTGTATAATTACCTGTAATAACCATTTAAATCTGAAGAGAGATCAAGTCTTTTTTTCATTTAAAAAATGTAAATGAATTATTAACCGAGCACTCATCAAATTAACGAATGTGACAAATAGAAATGATTCTAGTATTAATTCCAGACGAAAATAAAGTATTTATATATTTAACTTCGCGTATACATTTTCTGGAGCATACAAGAACATCCTACTGTTCCTCATTTTCACATTTCTCGGTTTAACATGCTATCCTATGTACTTAAGCGAGTACGGGCAAGTTAGCGTTCCCTCTGGCAGAAATGGCACGCGGTGTCGTCGTTCCGCGCGACGTCAAGAAGTTAAGGATAGACAATGGAAAAGTTATAAGCAAAGACGTATTACTTGAGGTTAAGCAATGCAAATTTAAATGTGTACACATGTATGTATGCAGTTGAATATAGTCGAGAACCAATCTAAAATGTCGGTTTTGTTTAATACGATATTTACTAAATAATGAAAAATTGATTGACATTGACGATAAATTAACTACTAAATGTTTATATATAAATAAGAGACAAAAAAAAATTGTAAAAATAGAAATAGTTAGAAGTTGATTATCGTCTCAATCGATTGAACTAATAATTACGGATCAGTAAACAGTCCTCTTGAGATGTACAATAGAAATGACGTCTGCCATTATTGGTAATGAACATGCAAATGCTTCAGAAACAATGCCAAGTCCATCTCTATATTTCTCATTGTTCAATGAGAAAAAAATCAAGCTCTCTCTTCGAGTTCTCTTCTATGCCGTTAGAAAATCTTACAAGAGATATTACGTTAATATTTAACATGATCAAATAAACTTCATTTAGAATTAAAAAAAGAATAAAAACTGATATCATTCCTTTAAATAATCTGAGATGGTCTGTTCTTAGTCAGTGAAATCTTTACCAGAAATTGACCTAGAGAAATGTGAATCTGTTGCTAAGGGAAAGATAGTAGACAGATCGATAGAATAAAATGAAAAGAGATCCGATAAGTAAATAAGCTGAAAATCGAACGAAGCAGAGAATAGAGTATTAAAAATAAATATTCCAAGTTGCTTATCTTTTTCACAAATGGTAGATTGATTCAAGAATAGATATGATAAATACTAAAAAAACATCAATATAATTTTCCATCCTAATTTACACATTTCTAATCTTAATGATGAAAATATAGAAAAAAGGAAAAAATAAACATAGATTCGCAGAATATAACAATCCAATTTATTGAGAGCATCAAGTTCTCGAAGAAACAGCTCCATTCTAAAACGTCAATCTGGATTGCATATTTTGACTTGGGAAACGTAGCGACCTCGTTCCATGAAAATCTATTCGGCAAGAGGGACGTGTGTTTTCACCGAACGTGATGAAAGCGTTGAATAAACGTTGAATAAACAAGTCCGTCTCGGCTATAGATGATAAAGCGATGAATAGAATAAAGTCGGGCAGAGCTTCGAAATACGTTCGATTCCAGGCTTGAGTCCTAAAGTTGTAACGATTGAAGTAAAGTTGTAACGTATTGAAACAATCGACCAGGTCACTTGTGATACAATACTCTTGTCACATTGGAAAGACTCGGACGGAGGAAACGAAAGAGCATGTAATAAAGAGAGAGAAAGTGAGAGTGGGAGAGAGAGAGAGAGAGAGAGAGAGAGAAAAAAGAGAGAGAAGGAAATAGATTCGAAACAGCACAAGTGATCGCATGAATTCCTGCCGATGATTAATCGTCGCCGACCAGGAAATAGGATTATTGTGTACTGACAACAATAAATGATGTACGCACAATCACTCTAGCCCTCTCGCCCTTCTCTACTTCCCCCTAAAACTCGATTTCTCGATACGAACATTTCCATCACTAGCTGCATCGTCTACCATCTCACGGAAATACATTCGCTCTCCCATTCTCTCATTCTCTCTCTCTCTCTCTCTCTCTCTCTCTCTCTTTCTCTTTCTCTCTTGTATACAACCCAGACGCATTGTTTTATGACTGGTCTCCGTTCACCGTCGAAAACGAGCTTTGTCATCGACTGGCAAAAGGAGTCTCGGAAAAACGCAGAAAAAGAGATTTCCTGAACGTCCCGAGGCGCATCGACCATTGGAAAAGTTTCGTCTTACCCTGTCACGCTAACTGAGCTTACGAACTTTCAACGAAGACGTAGACTCGGGAAGAAGAGTTATGATACTGACAACGATAATGTTCCAAGACGTTCTACGAATTCGATGATATCGTTCGCTTTTCGTGATATCATTACTATCCTCGAAAAAATAATTACAAATAAACTCATTATTAATTAAATCCTACTGGAATTAAATAATGACGATAAATAGATATTTAATTTAATTCATATTTTTATTCGCCTGAGATAATAATAATTAATAATTGAAAAATTAAAACAATTTGAAAAAATTCATAAAAAAAAAAATTTCAAGAGAATCTCTAATTTTATCTCAAAACTTTTTTTACGTTAAAAAATTTTAATTAATAGAATTTAACTTGCATATATATATAGTCAATATATGAAGATATTAATCAAAGAAATAAAATAATCATTTTTAGATTTCTTTTATTAGAACAGAATATTTGGATGGATACTTTAGTAATTGGAAAAACGCTTTTTATAAAAATTATTATATGAAGAAGCGACGTGAGAAAAATTCTATAGAACATATAAACAATATCATTTAAACGATCGCTATCGTTTATATCATGTCGACGAAATGGCAATGTGTTAACGTTATTGCATTAATGACATCTAAAGGAAACGATTTGAATGACGTAATTCTATTTGTAAGCTTGCATAACACATACCCGCTTTTCAGTGAATTCGAATATTCTCACGCGTGGAAAATCATTTGGCTTATTCCGGCCAGTGAAATCACAAACAAGATTCTATAAACCGTCACAATATAAACGCCGAATATATTGCATTGGAAGAATTGAATTATCTCTTTGCCAAACGAAGAGAGAAGTTGAGTTGATCGAGAAGTACGATTGGAAATCAATTCGATGACAGTGCAGAATTATGTTAAATTTCTCTATTTAGATGCATATACAAACAATATTACGGGGGAAAAAAAAATCGAAAAAGTAAAAAGCATACAATATAACATTTAGTTTGATAGAAATGCATAATCGAAAAATATGAAATAAAATCGAAAATAATGTGATAAAAAACTTTTAAAAAATAATTCACAATAAAACGCAAGAAAATTTATTTTGACATTTTTCATATTTCCTGAGTTTATTTTCATTACTATGAGATAACTTAAGAACAAATATATTGATCTCGATAAAATCATGAACGGTTTTCGTAAAAGTGTAAAGTCTGGTGGCAGACTTTCCGTAATTTCGTCTGTTCTTCATCAAGCCAGTAGTAGCTTTTGTACGAAACTAACCTTCTACGTGTCTCTTCGACTTCCGGTGAGCGTAAAGTGGCCTCTGGCAGCGTGGCTTCGCTATCGGCACTACACTAGAGCTTCGCAGAACACTCGGCAATCTCGAGAGAAGCGTGATAATTTGATTGCCTAATGGTAAAAGCAAACAAGAGGTAAGACAAACGGCCTTTGCCACAGGGGGCATTCGAATAGTTACTAGCACAAAGGGCAAACATGGCCGGTCGGTTGAGTTCGGAGAAGGGGAAGGTCTATAGATGCAACGAAGCTGCACCTAGACAAACCTCGTTGTTTCCATCTCTTCTCTTCTCCCTCCATTCTCTTTCTCCCTCCTCCCCCTCTATTTCCCTCTCCCTTCTTCCAATCTCTGCATATACCTATTGCATATTACCACTCTGCGAATCGATTAACAAGTTAATAATTTAATAAGAATTCCAATTCACTTGCCACAAGGGAACGCTTCTTGTTGAAGATTAGCTATATCTATCAAGATAATATTGACATACATTAAAAAGAGAAAAATCAAATAAGTTCTTCGTGAAATATTACAATTCTTTTTTAATTAGTATCAAGTTCCTACGATAAAACTGCAATTATTATTTTAATTGAATCAAATTATAACGAAGAAAAAGAAGAGTAGCGAGATAAAATTCAATGAATATTTTATTAATAAATAATGTCATCAATACTTATATTCGTTTTTTTTTTTTTTTTTTTTTTTTTTTTAAATCGTAGAAGTGCAGAATCTGCAGATATACAGAACTGACGAATCATCATTAGTGGCATCAAGACATTAATATAGCTATGAATCCAATTGTAAAAAAAAAGAAGAAAAAAAAATATAAAAATGTATTCCGTGTCACGCGATATAAAAGAAACTTAAAACGATATTATTCTATGGCAATATTCCAGTGGCAAATTTTATGCGTCTTTTTTTCATGACATCAAATCAAAATATTGCTAAGTTATCGCATTATTTTAATTAAGAATTTGCATGGGAATTTCGAAGATACGTTTAATCTCCGAATGCGAGCAACTCTATCGCCAACGAAGCACATTACCATGCCAGTAAAGGATTTTGATGATCGGACATACCTACATATACATATTGTATATATCGGGATTCACTCGAGTAGCACGTTTTGGCGCGAAGCGTGGGTACTGCCGGTGGTTTCTGGATGAGCTCGTAGTCTATCATCCGGCCACCACCCTGACAACGCACGTGTACTTTCCTACGATACAAGGGTCGAAAGACACATCTATTATTGATTGTTGCCACTATATACATCGAAAAAAAATGTTTCTTTATTCCTTATCTTGCTAAGTGATTCCCCAAAAATATCATAATACTTTTGAATCTCGTAAAACATTTTGCATGACATTTTTATAATAAATATTTTTTCATTTTGAAATCGAAAAAATATCAAAGTAATTGAAATATCTAATTTGATATTTTACGATAGACAACATGACTCATATGTAATTAATATATGTATTCATGCCTTGATATCAATTCACGTAATAAAATAAGCAGTATAATAAATCCTTTGTAAATACTAGCAGGTCTCACGTTTATTTCAACCAGAAACTTTCCATCAACTTTTTAAAAAATAAAGTAAAAGTTCGGCTCCGTTACTGAATCGCTTTACTTCTTTTCCTTTCAAAACTAAAAACTTACTTCCAAATTTAAAAAACGATGGATGTAGGCGGCTCCATTCTAACCAATTAAGCTCACTCGGAGTGCGATATAGCTCGAAGGTGGTGAAGGCTCGTCGCATTAAAAATCTTACTAGAAAAGTTTCGCACTTATAAAAAATCTCTTTACCGATTTACTCATCTTTGTAAATACAGCACAATCAAAATGTAATTTTCAAGAGTTTTTATGTTGAAAATAGTGCATAAGTAAGTAAGTAAATAAGTAAGCTAATATGCGATGAAGATAAAGATAAATTTATCTGGGTTGATATTAATTTTATATATAGATATATACAAGTATGTTATAAAAGTATGTCCGCAAATTTCCTCTATAAAAATATAATGTAAATTTAATAAGGTATGAGTTAAAAAAAAAAAAAAAGTAATTAATTCGAATTTACGAAATCGAAAATTTTCAACTAGACTACCATCGTCATAAATACACATAGAGATAATATCTGAATTCAAATTAATTATCCCTAGAAAGCACCAGGATCAGAGGGATACAAGGCAAGCGTAGGAAGATAGGCGGTAACGAAACGTAAACACGATCGCAGGTTATTAGCATGGCGCGTGAACCTCCAGTAAAGACCAATTTGCAGATCAATGCTGAACGTTATATCGTCACAAACAGAGCATTAAATTTCATACAATTGATTCACCATTACGGTTTCTACGTCTTCGTATCATATTCAATCTAGGATGGTATTTCACTTCCTTTTCTTCCTCTCATTCTTGTATTTTTTACAAAAACAAAGCTTTAAATATCAATGAAGAAATTTTTTCATGATATTTTTGTAAATATTTTCATAATATTCTCCCTTTTTCTCTTTTTTCCCTCTTTTCAATTCTTTTTTTTTTTCATTTATTTATTAATTCGCATATATATTTATCATGTAAAAACAAATATTTAGCTATTTTGTCCTCGATTTGCTTACAAAGAATATAATTTAAAAATTTATTAAATTTGTCTATTGAGTTCGGTTTAAGAGTGGAGTTCTATATAAAACATCCGCTTTTTCATTCGTTTGATCGCCATCTTCCTCTATTCATGATTTCATTAAAATTCTCCCATATGCAATTAAGTGCAGAAGCGTAAAATATCGTAAAACTTTTTTTTTCTAATGACATTTCCGACAACATCACACCTTCTTTTTCATCGTGTAGATTAAAATGAACTTGCAAATAATTTACTAATTTGCTCGGGAAAGATGCAGAACATTGACATAAATAAATTGTAAATGTAAATTTGTATCTTGCTCGGTTAATTTGTTCTATTTGTTAATTATCTGATTTAATACAAATTTATGGACGTTTATTTAATATCTTTAACATCCAATAATTGTAAAGATTTAAAATGAAATAATAGAAGACTATTATTTTAAACAATGAAGAAAACTGTTGACAAATAATCAAAGGAAATGTAGAAAATATTAGTATCACGCAAATGTAGACGCGAAGTAAAAGATATTTAATAATAAAGTGTTATTTAATCTGGGCTACTGCATTCAAATACTTCTTGGATACTTTTTTCTTTCTCCATTAACCAAAGGTCCTGCTGCTAATGAATCTCTTAAGCAAAAGGAAAGCCCTCTTTAGAAAGGAACGCGCGTTAGAGTATTTAAAGGAAGAATGGTGCAATCTCGAAAAAATAAAAAAGTAAGAGAGGATAAGAAGGTTGCGTAACGAGGAGTAGGAGATAATTAAATGAATGAGTCGAATCAAATTTATATACCCGAATGCCATTCGCGTTAAAATACTCAGGAGCACAGTTAATAAAGAATAAGTGGATATCCATTGTGCGAAGGGATTGGAGAAGTAGGAGGAATCCGATTAAATTGCGAACGTCTTTCCTTTTACTTGCTCAATAAAAACAATCCAGCCCGACCGTCTTCGATGTCCGATTTAACCAGGGTGTTGCGCTTACCAGACGACAAAAAAATTTCCTCTTTTTTGACTTCGAATCCACTAGGAGGCATCGCTTCACAAATCCCTCTTTATGTTTGTATTACTTGTTTTATTCGTTTCACTTTCACGCATAAGTTACGATAATCACACTGAACTATATTTTAACGTTAAAATATTTAGACTATCATTCCGACTGTTCTTAGCACCCAGTCCCCTTTTAGCTGTACTTTTTTGCATTAGACACGACAAATTAATTCTTGTATCAATTAAGCTAAGCAGAGAGCTTCGTTTTTCGACTTACTTGTTACAGACTTTTTAATTTACCGCTTTAACAAAAATGTCCTGATTTATTAAATGTTTTGTTTTTATTATAATATTTGTTAATATTTAATAATAAACATTAACTTATGCATTTTTAAACTAAACGTCAAATCGAATCAAAATTTATACTAGATATTCATTAAGCGATGATTGCTTTTTACTAAAAATTTTAAAACGATCTATTTAACTTTTTTTCTCTCTTTCCCCCACCTCCCTCTCTCTTTCTCTGCATATTTAGTTGCTCTAACAAAAAAATTTGGAAAATTCATATTAATGACTGATTTTCTTTTATATGTTTCTACAAAGTTTGAATTGTTTATGATGCATATATGAATTTTTATTTGACTTTGATTAACCTATCATCTTTTCTTCACATTTATCTTCTGATAAAAGCGTATCGATTGCTTTGTTCATAACTCTCGACATACATGCATGGTAAGTATATGCTTGCATACTCAAAACATTTCTTTTATCATTACTACATCATGGAACATACAAGTTCAAAATTATTTTCTAACGTTTTAATTTTCAATGATAATATCGATAATAATAATTAATAAGTAACAATCTACGATTCTCCTTAAAAATAAGGATAAAAGGAAAACGATTTTTACTCATATAAATGCTTTATTCGTACAAGTAGAAAGTGTTTATTTATATCAAAGCATTAAAAAAATTCTTTCACTCTTTTCATATCTAGTTCTATTTGTCTTAGAACAGAATGTACGTCAAATAAATTAAAAGAGAAAACTAACAAAATAATTTGTCAATAGAATGACATATGTATCCTTCGATATCGTACTCAGTAAATTTGATCTTTTCTCTGATAAAAGATAAAATCTTTGCTAGAGGATAAAGAATATAAAGTCTATTCCTGATCTTCTTTTTATTAGAAAATGAGACTGCTTGTCTCATGTTGAAACCGGAATCAATTAATTCGTCTAACCGTCCATCATTCTCAGTAATCCTAACGTAATTCACATACAAAGGAGTCAAATTTCCTCGGTCTTCCTATTAGTTATACGCATGTCAAGCACGTTACATGCCGTGCTTCCGATCTTGATGCGACAGCTAATCTCTTTACTCAATATATTATCTCTCACATCTGCAATCGCCATTCTATTTAATTGTTCTTAAGATACCAATTTGTACATTGTTAATAAATAAATAGCTCTTGTATAATTGCAATTTCTTAATAATTTTTTTGT